AATTCCTTCAATAAAAAATTTTCTAACACTTTTGAAGTATATTAAGTGGCTGGTACAACACTGCATCTCATCTCAGCTCAAAGACTTTTCAGATACCTTATGGCATTTTTAAGCAAACCAGTTAAGCATTGCATTTAAAGTGCCATTCTGCAATTAACAAATGGTAAACAACACAGTGTACACTATTGAGTTATGGATGCAAGTGGGAGGTTGCTAAGCACGAAAGAAGCGTAAGAGTCGCTCAAGGCAATAGCCGAGAGCAACTCTAGCTTCTTGAGTGCTTAGCAAACCTCCCAAGTGCATCCATAACTCAATAGTGTATGCTGTGGTGTTTACCATTTGTTTTATAACACAACATTGATACATTGTAGCTAAAGAGTTCCCTTTTTTTTAACAAATCTTACATGACCAAAAAAAACAAGCACACGTGGAAAAATAGTCTTTGCATTTGCTCATATCAGCAGCGTACACCCATGGACAAATGGGGGGGGTGCTAAATTGACCAATCAGAGGGTGTGCTTTACTTTGGTTATGTTATAATACAAAATGTCATTAGTCTGGCCCTCCATTGTAGAAGGATTCCCAATTGCATATTTACTAGTTACAAGTTACACAATAAGAATTTTTTTGTTCTAAGTTACTTTCTTCTTTTTCTAGCTGCTCAAGCCTGTTCTTTCTTATACCTGTGCTGCCTTTCTACAAATCTCAAAGCCTTAATCAAAAGTACTCTAATTATTAGACTATGCCCTTAAACATCAAAGAACAACAGATTCAACCTATTTTGATGAGGAAGTTTAAATGTCTCTGTCTACAGTGTACCTTTTCTTGAAGATTTCCAGCATATCCCAAGTAAAGTCTAGCAATCTCCACTAGTGCCATGGCAATGTAAATGACAATTGTAATGAACTTGTATACTGAGTCCAACTTTTGATACTACAAGATACACAAGTACTATGATAACACTTCCATTCACAGACCAAAAGCGGTTTTAGATCTCTTTTTTTTTTTTTACCAACTGAGTTGATAAATGTAAATTACACAGATTTCATTTTTCAGAACCGATTCACTGACAAAGGGCTGATGCTTGAAACGGCAGCTTTAAAATCTATTGAAGCTAGCTCACATCATTAATTATGTTTATAAAAGCAAATCATCTTGCAACATGCCCACTGATGAAGCATCACAGTTTCTTAATTTTAGCCTTTTTATTCATTCTTACATATTAGCTTATGTAGTAAATTTAAACCAGTTTTCTGTAATTTTCAGTGATCAAAAATGTAGCTGTTATGTTCACTGAAAATCAGAGATTTTGGTATAATGATAATTACTCAGTTAATTAACTAGAAGTACATGCAAATGAAGTACAAGTTTACAAACTACATCCACTTGCTTCTTAGTTCTTACATTTGCTGAATACAAGCAACACAAAAATAACTAAAAAACAAAACATTATTGAGTCACAGTTATGTAGATGTAAGCTAACTAACCTTTGCTACCAGCATGACAATGCATGTTATGTACCAACAAGGGGAAAAATACACATTGAAGTACAATGACATCTGCAGGGCCAAGTTAGATACAATTTCATTTCCTTGGAAAGACAGTAAAGATGAGATGAAATTTGCAATGCATTCCTTTGGTAAATTATGTTGCATGTTGGGAAATGGGTATTTTTTAAGTTCTAAATATAAAAACTTGTAAGAATTTTAATTTCCTTTTAAGATGAACTGATAATTAGTCAGTTAATTAACTACATGTACATGCAAATGAAGTACAAGTTTTTTCATACCGTCTC